AACTTCTTCCAAACTTGGAAGACCAACAAACGCATCAAGCCCGGTAGGGGGCTTTTGTTGGTCCTTCCCTGGGGGATGGGACCCAAACCGGGAACGCGGGTTAGGAAAACATCCTTTTTCACGCTTTTTGGATTTTCCCTCGCCGGGGGTACACCCACAAACGCCCCCCCCCCCCCCCGCCGGAATCAGGACACGGTCGCGGCACCCCTGTCCTCCCTTCCTCTCGACGCTCCATCTCCGCAGAAAACGGAGACAGGTCCTCCATCCGCCCCCATACCCCGCGCGCTCCCATGCAGGGCATGGCAGGTTCTAATCGCTCACCACTAGCGGTCCCGTTCCCCCCACAACTGACCCCTCGCCCGCCGCCTGTGAACTTAGCACCATCCGTCTAGCAACATTTCTCTTATTTTCTCGTCGCAAGCTTTGACGACGCCTTCAGGTTTGTTTTTTCACACGTACATGAGAACCTTGGCGTAGATGATATCGGGGAGGGCGAACAGGCTCTCGAGGATCTGTTGCCGTTGCTCCCTGCTGCTGCCGAACGCCTTTAAGACCTGCGCGCCAGCCTTACCCCCGACCCCGCCCCTTCTTGCGCCTCCCATCCCCCTCGGAGACGACGACGAAGAACCGCCGCCGCCGCCACCGCCACCGCCGCCGCTGCTGCTACGCTTTGGCCGCGCGCGGCGGAGGCGGCCGGCCGTCCAGAGCGCCCTCAAGCGGTTGAGGCTCATCCTTCTCGCGTACACGATCAGCGACAGGTCCCACACCCGGAAGGCCTTGTCAGACCCCCCGCTCACCAACGTACGCGCGTCCGGCGACATGCACAGCGAGTAGACGTAGCCCTTGTGCGCTTCGAACTCGGCCTCCGCCGCCCCGTCCGGCGACGACGGCTCGCGATCCGCCCCCGGCGGCGTCTCCCGCGGGACTTCCCACACCTTGACGAGGCCCTTGCGGTCGCCGGTCACCGCCCACCGACCGTCCGCCGAGATGGCCACCGCCCGCACTCCTTCCTCGTGGCGCCCCAGCATCCGCATGGTTACCGGCGGCGGCGGCGCCGCCCCGTCCTCATCAGACGATGACGGCGGGTTCTCGCGGTCCGGGCACAGGACGTTGTGGAGCACGCGCACGCCCTTGTCGTAAGAACCCGTCACGAGGATTCCCCTCCCCCTCGCGCCGGCCGCCGAGATCGCGACGCACGTCATGATCCCGGCCTCCTTCACCGCCGCCTCGCCACCGCCGCGCGCGTCCTCGTCATCCTCCTCCTCTTCCTCCTCCTCCTCTTCGTTCTCGCCGTCGCGCTCTGACCGACCGGCGGCGGCGGCGCACAGGTCCGACCTCACGGGCCGGCTCACGACATCGGCCTCCTCTCCCCCCGCTTGGTCCGCCCCCGCCCCCGCTGGCGCCGCCGTCCTTACGTCCACGCGGCGCAGCATCGGCTTGGCCGGGGCCGGGAGGAACGTTCCCCCGCAGGCGAGGATTCGAACCACCGGCGGTACGACCGGGGCCGGGGACGAGAACGAGGGCGAGGGGGCGCCGTCGGAGCCGCTGCCGCTCCGGAACAGCTGTGTCACCATGTCCCTTCGCGCTCCTCCTCCGCCACCAC